CAAAGCTGGCCCTTGCAGTACCTATTTTCCTCCACTAGGTGTCCTCAGTGTGACCGCCAGCATCATTCAGCCCACTTCCTTTGAGCTCAGGCCGTCATGGAGCATCCTAGAGGTGTGATAGGTGACTTCTCTTGTCCCCATAGGCTTAATGAATAGGATGAGCTCTGTTTTAGTCGGGTGGTCTCCTTTTCCTGTCTTAGTGAAGAGCAGCAGAGGTATTCTCTGGGCTAGGATGTGCCCCCTCACAGGATGTGTACCCTCTGCTCCTGATCTAGTCTATCTTCTAAAAGATTAAATACAGTTCCAGGTTCTTAGTGGTGCTCACAGATGGTGGAGCTCATCGCAATGAATGGGTCAAGGAAGACCATAGATAAACAGGCAGCTGACTCTGGGAATGACCTTGGGTGCCATGACCAGTGCTGCTTCTCCACTGATGCACCGAAGACAGACATGGACAACGCCACCCCCTTGTCTTAGATGGATCACTCAGATTACATGGAGCTTGTTCAACAAATGTGCGTTGCAGAAGAATTCACAACCACTACTGAACATATATACATGGCTACATTGTGTTTACATTTCAAGGATATCTTTATACTATCTTCATTATTTATGCAAATAAGTTAATTATCATTGGACAAACCCCTCATTAATTCCAGTCAAACCCGCCATTGTAACCCTCCAGACATCCAGAAGATTGCCTAATTACTCAACCATAACACGTTCATGGGACGCAAGTCACCTTGGAGCCTCTCTTGCTCATTCCCACACAACAAAGGACACTTTGCACTCACCCCCACATTCTGGTCGTTACATGGTTAGAGGCAGAGGCGTAGCTAGAACCTTAAGGGCCCCGGTGCAAGAAACTATGAAGGCCCCCCCCAACCCCCCCGCCGCCATGGCACTGTGTGGTTAACAGGAAGGATGCCGAGGTCCCCAGCAAGTGCGGGACCTCAGGCAGCCATTTTAGTTAAAAATTTTAGTGCCGGTGATCTGTCGAGAACGCCGACCCAGTATCTGCATTTGCGCACAGATGGGATTAACGAGGTAACCGGCATTTATTTACAATATTTACAAATATTGTCCATGGCAGTAAATGATGGGTGGCAGTAACTGATAGATGGTAGTAAATGATGGATGACAGTAACTGATGGATGGCAGTAAATAATGGATGGCAGTAACTGATAGATGGCAGTTAATTATGGGTGGCAGTAAATGATGGGTGACAGTAAATGATGGGTGACAGTAAATGATGGATGGCAGTAAATGATGGGTGGCAGTAAATGATGGGTGGCAGGAAATGATGGGTGGCAGTAAATGATGGGTGGCAGGAAATGATGGATGGCAGTAACTGATGGATGGCAGGAAATGATGGGTGGCAGTAAATGATGGATGGCAGGAAATGATGGGTGGCAGGAAATGATGGATGGCAGTAACTGATGGATGGCAGGAAATGATGGGTGGCAGTAAATGATGGATGGCAGGAAATGATGGGTGGCAGTAAATGATGGATGGCAGGAAATGATGGGTGGCAGGAAATGATGGGTGACAGTAACTGATGGATGGCAGGAAATTATGGGTGGCAGTAAATGATGGGTGGCAGTAAATGATGGATGACAGTAACTGATAGATGGCAGTAAATAATGGATGGCAGTAACTGATAGGTGGCAGTTAATTATGGGTGGCAGTAAATGATGGGTGACAGTAACTGATGGATGACAGTAACTGATGGATGACAGTAACTGATGGGTGGCAGGAAATGATGGATTACAGTAAATGAAGGATGGAATATTATTAACGGTCACAATTAACAATTTAAACGAAATACTTTGTGAAAAAATCCCGGTTTCCTCGATAATACTGGTCTGTGCGCAAGCGCAGATGCTGAGGTAGGCAAATTCGACTACGTCGGCGTTCTCGACAGAACACCGTTATCTGCGTTTAGTATCGGGGCCAACTATGCGGGACTACAAGTCCCAGCAATACATTTTAATAAAAAACAGCACTTGAATACCACCAGCATCGCCCCCCACACACATTTCCTCCGCCCCCCCCTTCCCGATCCATACTTACCTTACTCTCATGCAGGACCCTCGTCTCGGCGGCCAGGGGGCGGGGCTAAGTGGAGAGGGTTCTCACACAGCAGAATGTGCTGCCTGGCGGTGCCTGCAGCACATTCTGCGTGACTAGTGACAGCCTCTCCAGCCCCGCCGCACAGCCGCCCCTACACGCTGCTGGAGGCAGAGCAGCGGGGGCCGGAGCGCATTATCTCGGGGGGCTCTCTTCTTCCTCTCTGGGCCCCCCCAACAGGAGGAATGCCAGGGCCCGGTTGCAATTGTGATCCTGGTAGTTCCACCAGTGGTTAGAGGACCAGACGGAGAACAGGCAATGACTACCAGGCCTGCAGCCTGACTCAAGCCATGTCCACATGCACCAGCACCTCGTAGGTAGGGACGGCTGAACCTGCCCGGCAGGGAGATCTGAGAATCCTATTAGAAATTTGTGAAACCCAACTGAGCAGAAAATACACTATGTGGTCTGCGGGAGGGGGGAGGGGTCTTGATACTAAATTCGGGCCATTTTTAAAGTGTATTGAGAAAAATAATTTTGCATATTGTAGGCGGACAGTGAGGTGTGCGATGTTGTTATGAATACATTGGGAGGTGTGTTAAATATCATTTAGATGTGTGTTCCTATGGGAATGACAGGTTCTCTTCATGGATATATGTGCTGTCCTAAATTACATTACAGTGTTTGTCTTTCACATTTCCTCCTTCTCTTGTTGTCTCCCTATCAAGACAACATTATTTGTTGTACATACAATATATATTTATATGTTTTTTTCCTGTTGTTCTCTCACTTTTCTTATGTCCTGTGACAGCGAAAGCGACATAAACCTATCAGACAGATGAGATGGAGGAGGGGAGTCACATGTCCAAGAGGATACTAAATCTCACCCTGGAGATCATCTACCTGCTGACCGGAGAGGTGAGGAGGATTCTGGGAGGTCACATGGCATCACTCTTATCTCTATTAATAAAACACAGACCTGACCGGAGAGGTGAGGAGGATTCTGGGAGGTCACATGGCATCACTCTTATCTCTATTAATAAAACACAGACCTGACCGGAGAGGTGAGGAGGATTCTGGGAGGTCACATGGCATCACTCTTATCTCTATTAATAAAACACAGACCTGACCGGAGAGGTGAGGAGGATTCTGGGAGGTCACGTGACATCACTCTTCTCTATTAATAAAACACAGACCTGACCGCAGAGGTGAGGAGGATTCTGGGAGGTCACATGACATCACTCTTATCTCTATTAATAATACACAGACCTGACCGGAGAGGTGAGGAGGATTCTGGGAGGTCACATGACATCACTCTTATCTCTATTAATAAAACACAGACCTGACCGGAGAGGTGAGGAGGATTCTGGGAGGTCACATGACATCACTCTTATCTCTATTAATAAAACACAGACCTGACCGGAGAGGTGAGGAGGATTCTGGGAGGTCACATGACATCACTCTTATCTCTATTAATAAAACACAGACCTGACCGGAGAGGTGAGGAGGATTCTGGGAGGTCACATGACATCACTCTTATCTCTATTCATAAAACACAGACCTGACCGGAGAGGTGAGGAGGATTCTGGGAGGTCACGTGACATCACTCTTATCTATCTATGACCTGAGTAGATTGATGAGGTATTTGGGGAAATTGCATATATAAAAAAACTACGTTATTATGGGATGAGATTTGTTTTCTCTCTGTAGTAATGTTTATCGCTTCTCTGCCTTTTGGCTAAGATCAAGTGTAGTATCTGTTCTTATCAGTTTTCGGAGGGGAACAGCATGGACCGTCCCTGGGACGGGCGGTTGCTTAGTACTCTCTGAGTGAAGGTGGGTGTTGAGGCGACCCCTTTTTAGCAGAGGGGGGAGTTTCCTCGGCACTATTGCCTCCTGACTAAACGGATGCTTGCTCGGTCTGGCCGGAGGGTTCGGGGGGCTGCAGAGCCCGTGGTGCTGTGCCCCCTGGGGGTGGCGTCCCAGGGGTGCTCAGAAAGTCACTAGGGTGTGGGACCCCACATGTGACTCACTGTGCACATGGACACGGCACCTATTGCATTTTCTGCACATCGCCTCTTGGGCAGGCCTTATGGCTAGTCTGGGGCAATACTTTTGCACTCCGGCCCCTAAGGCCTGTCAGCGTGGTGCACTGGCACTTATCTATGCACTACATGCACGATTGGCACTTTTTTATTTTTCTATTTGACCCACAGATTGCCGAGGGTGCAGGTTCCTTCGGGGGCCCATTCCCGATGTGGGGAGGAGATTCTGTCTCCTCCCACCCAGGGGGTCTCTCTTCGGTAGAGCCCCCTACCTAGTACTATGTGGGACCTGCTTCGGCAGGTGCCCATAGGATCGGGGTCCGCCGGCCTTCGGGTTGGTGGACCATAGTAGTCTCAACCCCTGTCAGGAGCCTTGCGCCCCGGGGGTGTCGGGAAATTGTGGCCCCTTCTTTATCGAAGGGCCAAGCACCCATGTGCATGTTTTTGTGTGCTGTGATTTCTCAATTCACTTTTTTTGTTCACATGGGATTTCGTTTTCGAGCACGCTCCACGGGCTTCCAAAAACAAAAGTAATGTTTATTTCCCACTTATAATGCAGGACTGTATTATAGTGAAGAAGCCGTCTGCAGATCATGTGTCACAAAGATGGAGCAGGAAACAGAGATCCATGAAGGAGCCTCCAACTCCCCCAAGCAATCACAAGAAGGTTCTAGAAGTCACCCAGAAGATCATTGAGCTGCTGACGGGAGAGGTGAGCGGTGCCGGGAATTCTGGGACATGGTCCAGGAACAGACAAGGGATGTGTCTGGATGGTGACTGTCTCATTGTGTGTGTCAGGTTCCTATAAGGTGTCAGGATGTCACTTGCTCATTCAGCACAGAGGAAGTAAAATATTTAGGATGCGAAGATCTCAACAAGGACGTCATGACGGAGAACCGGCCACCCCTCACATCACCGGGTAAGAGGAGACTTTTATGTCTTGAGTATTGAGGATCCCCCTAGATACACACATCCTCAAGAACCATGTGTCCTAATTAAAGCTTATATTATGCTTGTCCTTAAAGAGTAATACAGAAATTGTTGCAAAGAACGTAATGTATCTTATCTAGGATGATGGCCTGACTATTGTTAAATTAGAAGATGAAGAGGAGCCTTATATGAGGAATGACAATCTATGTAAGGAGGAGGAACGTTCTCCAGAGATCAGCACAGGTGAGTCATTATTATTATTATTATACAGGATTTGTATAGCGCCAATAGTTTGCACAGAGCTTTACAATATAAGGAAGACATTACAGTCACAATACAATTTAAGACAAGATGGTAAGGAGGGCCCTGCCCGTGAGGGCTTACAATCTAAAAGAGTCATAAACACTAAATGCAGAGAAGAGTCCCAGATTCTCCTTGTCCAGTCACTACAACAATCTCTTCTTCTCCCCCCTCCTCTGTCAGTAGACAGTAATGGGGGGACGGAATGTGTCTAGTGGGGGGAGTCAGGAGCATCAGCCTCTATTAGACTACGGCTCTCTTCCTCCTCTTCACTCTCTTCTTTATTCCCAGACCCCGGAGACACTCAGAGGGACCTCAAAACTGAGGAGGAGGAAGAAGGACATGTGAGGATCAAAAAGGAGGAAGTTCCTGTAAAGATCAGCACAGGTGAGGAATAATAACTAATACAGAATGATGACCAGCTCGTGGTTCTCTTAGTCATTTATCTCTTCTGGTCAGGTCTGTGTTATCAGAGCTAAGAATGATATGTCACCCTCCCAGAATCCTCCTCACCTCTCAAGTCAAGCTCATTGCTTTTCCCAGATGTCAATTGAAAGCTTGAAATGGAATATTAGGCATCCCCGGCTGCAATACTGACAATGCATTAAAGGAGAACTATGAGGTGGGTGATTTCCACTCGTCCTCATAGTTAGAGCCGACCTGTGACAAAGAAGCACTCACAGTCCGGCTCTAACGATCGGGAAGTGAGGAGAAACATGCCGCCGATCTGCTGCTCACTTCCTGAGCTTTGGGTCACGGGAGGAGGTTAGTATATGTCCTCCTGTGACCCTAAAGAGAACTATGGGGAAAAAACACTGACCTCATAGTTCTCTTTTTAGGGTTGCTGAGGCTGCTGCTTCTTCATAACAACCCTGAGACTGCTGCAGGGGACAATAGTGTAGGCCGGGGGCAGCCAAACTTCAGCCCTCCAGCTGTTGTGGGACCACCCCATAAGGCATTGCAAGACTCTATCCACCACAGGCACGTCTTCAGGAGGCTGATGCTGGATGGCATTTGTAGCCGACAATCGGCTACCCCTGGTGTAGACGGACCTTCAAAAATAGTTTAAGAAAGTGACTGCAGTTACGTTTTTGAAATCCTCACACCGGGAGGTGGGGTTGTGACCCGCCTCCCGGCTTCTTGATTGGTTAGGAAGCCAGGCTTCCTAGCCAATCGTGAAGCCAGCTTCCTAGCCAATCGTGAAGCCGGCTTCCTAGACAATCGTGAAGGCGGGTGGGGCGGGTCATGACATGCCAGCCAGATTCCTGATTGGCTAGGAAGCCAGCTTCACTTGTAGGGTAGGCAGCCTGGCTTCCTAACCAATCAGGAAGCCGGGCGGCATGTCATGGCACGCTTCCTGGCTTCCTGATTGGTCAGGAAGCCGCGCTCCACAGCAACAAGTGAGGTGGCTTCCTAGCCAATAAGGAAGCTGGGAGGCGGGTCATGACGTGCTGCCTGGCTTCCTGATTGGCAAGGAAGCTGGCTTCACTTGTTGCTAGTCAGTCTGGCTTCCTGGCCAATCAGGAAGCCAGAGGGCACCTCATGACTCGCTGCCCTGATTGGTCAGGAAGCTAGACAGCCTTGCAAGTGATGCCGGTGTTTTTTCGCTAGAACATCGGCTTCGCAGGCAATCGGGACGCCTTCCTGATAATCGAGCACAAGGCACTGGTACTCGGTATCGGCAACTACCGAAGAATAAAAATCGTTACTCGATACTCAAAAAACGTTTTCGGGGCAGCCCTAGAAACATTAAATACAGGGTGCACCCTTGACACCGATGTCACATCAGAGAGCATTATAAAGGTCCTAAAGAGTTAGCACAGCAAAAGCTGTTTGCTATCAGACTATCTCTCTCTAATTGGATCTTCTTATTGAGCTATTGAAGCCTGTATGCAGCAGACACTTAGGTCAGTCTGGTAGATGTGTGAAAAGAAGCGCAGAGCTCCAGCTGTTGTCCGGTGATGTAGATATGAAGACAATGTCAACAGTTTATTTTTATCCCCAGACATAGTTAATAAGGAACATCTTCAGTTACCTGCACCCCAGCAATGTGACGCCTGTGCTGTCCCTCGTTGCCGGCACTACAACCTTTGCCCAGTCTTCTTCTGCGTTGAGCAGCTGTAGCCATCTTGATTGGCCGGCCCAGGATGACACAACCCCTGTGCCCATGCAACTCATCCCGCCATAAGAGGTCACGTGCCGTAGAGGTCACATGCCATAAGAGGTCACGTGCCGTAGAGGTCACATGCCATAAGAGGTCACGTGCCGTAGAGGTCACGTGCCGTAGAGGTCACATGCCGTAGAGGTCTCATGCCGTAGAGGTCTCATGCCGTAGAGGTCACATGCCATAGAGGTCACATGCTGTAGAGGTCTCTTCTGCCATAAAAGCCTTTCCTGCTTTTAACTTTCATCACTGTTTTTGATCGGGCATTTTATTTCGGACGACTTTTTATTTCATTTTTCCTCTTCTGCTTTGTCTCTGATTTCCTCCAGATGAACAACACATCAGCAACAACATGGGGGGACTTCCCATTAAGGACATCACATCCGGGCCTCGAGGAGAAAGCCCCATGACCCCAAATCTCCATCCTGTCCATCCCAGTGCAGATCTGTCATCTGATCCCTCCACACGTGGAGGACGTTTTCCAGATCACTCCCCTCCCGTCACTCCTCATACAGATCATAGAAAGGGTGAAAAGTTCCCGTGTTACATTTGTGGGAAATGTTTCACCCGGAATGAAACTCTCACCGTACACCACAGATCTTACACGGGGGAGAAGCCATGTTCCGTTTGCGGGAAATGTTTCCTTCGGAAGTTGTGCTCGATTAACCAAGAAAGATCTCACACCGAAGAGAAGCCCTTTTCGTGCTCCGAATGCGGGAAAAGTTTCAGCCAGAAGTCCAACCTTACTTTACACCGACGGATCCACACCGGCGAGAAGCCGTATTCTTGCCCCCAGTGCGGGAAATGTTTCCACGTAAACGCCCGCCTTCTCCAACACCAGAGGACTCACACCGGGGTGAAGCCGTATTCGTGTTCGGAGTGCGGCAAGTGTTTCACCGAGAGCTCAACTCTTGCTAAACACAAGCGAACTCACACCGGGGAGAAGCCGTATTCGTGTTCGGAGTGCGGGAAATGTTTCAGTCAGCGCTGCAATCTCGAGTTACACAAGAGAATCCACACCGGGCAGAAGCCGTATTCGTGTTCGGAATGTGGGAAATGTTTCACAACTAGCTCGGCTCTTGCGAATCACAAGAGAACTCACACAGGGGAGAAGCCGTATTCGTGTTCAGATTGCGGGAAATGTTTCACGGGGAAAAAAAATCTTCTCTTACATCAGCGAGTTCATACTGGGTAGAAGCCTTGAAAAACGCTCCTCATACATATTTGTGAACCCTGTGCGGGGGAAGTAGGTCCAGACAAACATTCCGTGACTTGCAATTGCTGAATGAAGGAAATCTGCACCGTTCAGTTTGTTCTGCTTACTTTTAACATGGACAACACATTGTAGTTTTATCTATTTATTTAATTTTGGGTCTGTTTTCATTCTCTTCTGCTGTTATTCACATTTGTGTGGCATTATTTTATAGGTACATAGATTAAAAAGTCTATATAGTTTCTGTATTCACCTTAACCCCTTCATGACCAGGGACGTACAGTGTACGTCACTGGCATCGGGGCTGTTTACACAGACTCCCAACGGTCGGCTTTACAATAGAAGCGATCAGGCGGCTCAGCTGCTGCCAGATCGCTTCTGCGGGCCGGTGAACAGGTCCCCCGCCCAACACCCCCGCCGTGTTTTACTGGATCCGTTGCCCCTCCTACGTGCCCGGGACCGGCTTCTCTGGTGTCGGGGGGAAGCCGGGGAGGAGATGGACGAACCTCCGTTCATCAATCCCCTCCCCGTTCTATGGGATCGGGAGCGATGCAGATGACATCACTTCCGGTCCCTGGGCTGTCATTGGTCGGCTCCTGAAGCCCAGCTATAAGCTATTGATGTGCGATCTGCACTTCGATAGCTTTTTTTGGAGTGTAAAGGTGACACTGGGGGTCTTTTGGACCCCCAGTATTACCTTAAAGAGTACCTGTCACCACCATCTGCTCTTACATGGGGGGCTTGCGAGCCCCCCTATGTGATAGCAAGTAAAGTAAAAAAAAAACACAACATTTTTTAAAATGAAATAAAATAAATGTAAAAATTATAAAAAATGTTTTTAAAGGCCCCCGCGAGCACACGCGTCTTCACGTAAACACGCTTCGGGTGCGCCTGCGTATGAAAACGACGAACATTCTACACATGTTGGGTATCGCCGCACACGCCGGAGTGAGAACAATAATTCTGGGGGCAGTGTTTTGGGGTATCTCTAAACTAATGACCTGTGGGGGGGCTTTTAAAGTGTCGTCTATGGACTTTTTGGGGTACTGAATTTTGTCGCCGTTTCACAGACGCACACAATTTTTATGTCGGGTATCTATTTATTTGTTGTCACCTCATCTTTTATATTGTATTAAACAAATGGGTATTTTATTGTGTTTTGGGGCATTTAAGTGCATTTTTCACTCAATGTTGGGGTTTGATAAGGAGTTGCGCTAATATCGTGAAACATAAAAATTTGCAAATGCCGCCATTTTATTCTACAGGGTCTCGGCTTTCAGAAAATATATCATGTGTTAATGTGTGTGTGTGTGGGGGGAGGGGTTTAAGTAATTTTCAGGCCTAAAATGTGGAATATAACATGGGTGCAAAAAAAACCCCAGGAGGCGTGTTGCCCGTACAGGGAAAAGGGCGATTATTACATTGCCGAAGCCGTGAGAGGAATCAGGTGGGCGGCTCATGTAAGTCTACGGAGACGCTGTGTCCCTGCTTCCCACACCTCCGAGTTTTCACAGCCGCTTACACACGGTGCGCGGACCTGGAGGATTTAATTGCTTCAGGGTGTAGACCTGAGACGGGTTGTCACATCCATCTGGAGACGGGTGCACTAGAAGTCAGACAACCCTTATAGAGGCCCCAGGAATGGATAATGAGGGAATGGATAATGAGGTAGTTCTATCATCCACGTATTCCTCCACAGTCTGACCCACATGACGGCAATACAGAGCAATGTCCAGTGACTGGTCTGGAAGTAGGCAGAGGGAAGAAAGACACATATCCTCATTCAGGACAAAGGAAGACACAAAGAGACAGATCTGAGTCATCAAGCCATCGCATGCTTCTCCGGAACAAGGAATGGAACCTTCCAGGATACGTCTGTCAGCTCTGCAACCTTCCAGGATGAAGTAATACCCTGTTTCCCCGAAAGTAAGACCTAGTTTGGTGGTAGCATGTGAGGGGGAAGAGCAGGAGAGATGGTGTCAGCCTGCAGGGACATACTGTATTAAGGGGATGACGGAGGACTACCTCCGGCCAGCGCAGTGACTGAGAACACTGCAGTACCAGACTTCACCCACTGCTGTCCCCCTAAAGACACTGCTTAATGTAATGGTACTGTACTGTAATGTGTACCGGTAAATGGTACCATACTTTACCGCGTTGTCCACTGTCTGATGTCCGCACTGCTGCACTGCTGGTACCGCTGATGGCAAAGGAAGCCGGCGCTGTAGAACGAAAGGCTGCGGCGGGGGAGGGAGCAGAGCCGCATTAGCCGATACTTCCTCTATAGCGCCGGTTACTGTGACAGGCGGAGTGATACCAGATAACTTTAGATTGTTGTACATAAAATAAAAAATAAGACATCCCCTGAAAATAAGACCTGGCGTGTTCTTTTGGGGGCAAAAAAAATATAAGAGTCTTATTTTCGGTGAAACACAGTAGGTAGGAGGAAGTCCACACACCTTCTTTCTCTTCTCCTTTTGCTCTTCTCGCTCTTCCCCTCTTCTCTTCCTCTCCTCTCTGTCTCTTCCTATTTTACTCTCCCTCTCTTAATCTTCCCTTTCTCTCTTCTTTTTCCCTCTTTCTTTCTTTCTCTCCCTCTGCTCCTGTCTCTTTCTTTCCCTCATTTCTTCTCTCTCTTCTCATCTCTCTTTCTCTTCTTCTCTCGCTTCCTCTTCTCTCTTTCCTTTCCTCTCACTCTCCTCTTTCTACTCTTACTCTTTCTCTCCACACTCTTTCTTTTACTCTTCTCTCTCTCTCTTCCTCCCCCTCTTCTCCTTTCTCTTCCCCTCTTCCTCTTCTTCTCTTTATCTCACTCTTCTCTCTCTTTCTTATCCTTTCTCTTATCCTCTCCCCTTTCCTCTTCTCACTCCTTTCCTCTCACTCCTCTTTCTATTCTTTCTCTCCATTTTTGGGATCAGGCTTCATCTCGCTCCCCCCCTTCTCCTCTCTTTCTTTTACTCTTCTCTCTCTTCCTCTCTCTCTTCCTCTCCTCTCACTATCCACCTTTCTTACTCTCCCTCTCTTAATCTTCTTTCTTTCTCTTTCCCTCTGTCTTCCTGTCCTCTTTTTGTTCCTCTCCTCTCTCACTCTCCTACATTTGGGGGATCAGGCTTCGTTTCTTTCTTCCTCTTTGTTTCTGTCCTACATTTGGTGGATAAAAGCTTCCACACTTTCCAGCAGCAGAGGATCTCTTCTGTACCCCCACCACCACCACCTCTCTACCCCTTACAATTGTAATTTAAAGGGTGTACTGGGCCTTTTAATGTATTTTATGGGGGGTTTTGAGGTCAAATCAAATAAAGATGTAGATCAGCAGAACACAAATACATACAAAAGAACAAAGTATTCTACATGAAATAAACTAAGCTCAGTGGGGGGAATTGATCAGCTCTGGAGCCGTTGCCCACAGCAACCAGTCACCTTCTCTCATCAACTTGCTCAGTTAAGCTTTGAAAATGAGAGATGCTGATTGGTTGCCACGGCAACTGCTCCAGATTCCTTCGGCTCCAGTTTTGATCAATTCCCCCCAATGAGATTTCAGCCAGGTGTTCATTGACTTATTGCTTCTGAATATTTTGTGCTATCACATTCATCCAGAAGGTGGCGCTCTAGGCTGATAATACAGCTTTCGTAACCGCACTTCTCACATGAATGACCACAATTCTCCACTCGCACAACTCCTTTAGCTGCAAAAACATAATTTATATTGTACTATTAAAAACATGTAAATTCCCTTTGTTCTAGATCAGCAACTTGTCTCCCTCCTCGTCCACTTCCGCCCTGTGGCTACAACACTTCCGTTGTTTGCGTTCCATAGTGGCACATCTGCTTCCTGTTTACCATAGTGACGTCCTGCCACTGGGCAATTTTCCAGTGTGGAGCCAGAGCCACAGCTAGAGGCCGACCGTCTTTGCTGTGACAGGCTGAACTGTCCCTAATGCTGGAAACCGGTGGCGGCCATTTTGTTGTAGCCCGGAAAAGGAGGAGAGCGGATTTTTGTAGTCGAAAGGAGCTTCCTGCTGGAGAGTGTGAGCCCAGTGAGGAGGAGGTAATAATGTCTTCTTATTATGAGAGGAGGAAGAGAGAGAATGGGGTCCCAGCACTATATCTGGACTACATTGGGGGGTGGTCAAGTGACTTTGGTCAGGTCACATGTCCTGTTTAGTGGCTGTCCATGTATCCCGTTTTAAACAGGACAGTACCGCTATCTCAATCAATTTTATAGGCGCAGAGCGCACTTTGTGTAACTTCCTTCCAGTCAGTGGTGTCGCGGAGGAAGAATAAGCGCCGGCGGGGACTTTAGTCAGCCATTTTATATGATCAGCAGGGCAGTGCTCCAGAGCGTTAAGAAATCTCCAGGTTGATCGCCTAGGTCTCTGCTCCTCAGACTGACACAATGGAAGGATATGAGGCAGAACTGCCAAATCAACGAATTTCTGTCAATTCGGCAGTTCATCCGAACCCAAATTACTATATACCCGAATATATAGTAATTTGTTGTATGGGCGCCGCCATCTTGGTGCATCTGACGTCACAAATGAAGACACACCACCCTCTTGGGTGCACCTGGATGGCGGCACCCATTGTTTTCTATGCACTCAAATGTGTGTGTGGAGGTGCCAGCGTTCAATATGGCCACCACCCTTTTTTTTTTTTTTGTCCAATGTGCAGTTTCGGATGTGGAGGCTCGTAGCCTCCAAATCCCAAACAGAATAATTTATTTTGTTCAAAACTTTATGCTGCACGTTTCGGAACCTGTTTGGTCCCTTCATCAGGCAAACAAAGATGAAGTTAGCCTGATGAAGGGACCAAACAGGTTTCCGAAACGTCGCCATTTTGTGACATCACAGAGGTCAATAAAATATTGACTGGACTTCAGCTGGAGTGCCAGTGACTTTTTCATATATATACTGTTTTCAATGAACAGTCGCGTGATCGAAAACGCACTGCAATCGAATGAAAACAGCTTGGCATCTGA